TCTGGGCTTTCTTATGCTGTAAAAGGCTGTTTCTCTGGTTCACTCGTGACAGTGACCAAGGATGTCACTACGCTGGGTGAAGCAGCAGACTGCCGTACGGGGCTCTAACCTCCTGAAGCATGGCTGCTGTGTCCCCAGAAACAGGCTGTGTGAGGATAAAAGGCACAGTTACAGAAATAGCAAACTACTACCACCCAACCGTAAAAATTCCCTCCCCAGTAACTAAAAGGATACAAGGTGAAATAATACACTTACCTACAGAGTAAGGATTTTGAAATGACAATGTAATCCCTACTTCAGAAATGTTAACTGAGCCAAAACCGGTTTGGCTCAGTGGTGGAGAGCGTTGGTCTGCGGACTGGGGGGTCCCGGGTTCGATTCCGGTCAAGGGCATGTGTGTTGGTTGTGGGCGCATCCCCAGTGGGGGGTGTACGGGAGGCAGCTGGTCGATGTTTCTCTCTCATTGACGTTCCTGGCTCTCTGTCCCTCTCTTCTTCTCTCTGTGAAAAATCAATAAAATATATTTTAAAAAATAATAATAATAAAATTTAAAAGAAGAAAAAAAAAAAAAAAAGAAATGTTAACTGAAATCACCCATTCAACGCTGTTTACATGTTAACAATGTGTCCAGACTAGATTTCTATTGATTTGTCATTAGACTAGAGGGCCAGTGCACACATTCGTGCACCGGTGGGATCCGTTGGCCTGGCCTGCACTACCCCAATCCAGAACCCGTGATGTCGGAGGCCTGGTGCCAAGATTTGGCCTGATCCCCATAGGCCAGGCTAAGGGATCCCAGCAGTGCACGAATCCATGCACCGGGCTGGTTTTAGCTCCATCTCTGCAGGCCCGGCAGAGGGACCCTAGCAGTGCATGAATCTGTGCACTAAACCTCTAGTGTACATATAAGATCTTTGGTTAATTTCTTTCCACCCTCCCCCCTTTCCTCTGAGATTCATCAGTCTGTTCCATGTTTCCATGCCTGTGTGTTGAGTATCTGCCCCCCTGGTGGTCAGTGTGCGTCATAGCTAATGGTTGAATGGTCACTTGGGCTTTTATATATATAGATACTTTTTGTCAAAATTAGCTTATTCCCAAATATCAGTCATTAGGTATGACTGCAGTGCATTATCTCCCAGAGTTCTTAGGAAATAGAAGAGAAAAAGACAAATATTCAAGCCCCTGGCAACTTTTATGACCCTTTCACATGGCAAAATCTGAGTGGCTACAGAGCAGTACAGGAATAATTCTAAAAAAAAAAAATTAAAAAAAATTTTTATGTGTGTTGATAGATATGTCATAATTCTCACAGTTGAAATTTCCTCAGACATTATACTTTCTTTATAAGGGAATCCTGGTTTTTCTCTTTTTAAAAAAATTAAATCTGCCAAAACCGGTTTGGCTCAGTGGTAGAGCGTCGGTCTGCGGACTGAAAGGTCCCGGGTTCGATTCCGGTCAAGGGCATGTACCTTGGTTGTGGGCACATCCCCAGTAGGGGGTGTGCAAGAGGCAGCTGGCCGATGTTTCTCTCTCATCGACGTTTCTAGCTCTCTGTCTCTCTCCCTTCCTCTCTGTGGAAAATCAATAAAATAAAATATATTTAAAAAATAAAAATTAAATCTTTATTGTTGAAAATATCACACATGTCCTCCTATTTACCTCATTGATCCCTGCGCCACCACCTCCTCCACACACCCCAGGCCTTGCATCCCTGAAGTAAATCCTACTTGGTCATGGTATATAATCTTTTTAATATATTGCTGGATCTGATTTGCTATGCTAATATTTTGTTGAGGATTTTAGCATCTATGTTCATCAGGGACGTTGGCCTGTAATTCTCTTTCTTTGTAGTATCTTTATCGGACTCTGGAATTAGGATAATGCTGGCCTCATAAAAAGAACTTGGAAGTGTTCCTTCCTCTTGGATTTTTTTGGAATAGTTTGAGGAGTATAGGTGTTAGTTCTCTTTGAATGTTTGGTAAAACTCCCCTGTGAAGCAATCCAGACCAGGGCTTTTGTTTTCCGGGAGTTTTTGAATTACTGCTTCTATTTCCTCTGTTGTTATTGGCCTATTCAGGTTTTCTGATTCTTCCTGATTCAGTTTTGGGAAATTGTATTTTTCTAGGAATTTATCCATTTATCCACATTATCCAGCTTGTTGTTCATTGTATTTCCTTCCAATCCTTTTATTTCTGTGGTGTTAGAAGTTACTTCTTTGCTTTCTTTTCTGATTTTATTTTATTTATTTGGTCCACTATCTTTTTTTTAAAATATATATTTTATTTATTTATCTATTTTTTCACAGAGAGGAAGGGAAAGAGAGAGAGAGTGAGAGAGTTAGAAACATCGATGAGAGAGAAACATTGATCAGCTGCCTCCTGCACACCCCCTACTGAGGATGTACCCACAACCAAGGTACATGCACTTGACCGGAATTGAACCTGGGAGCTTTCAGTCGACAGGCTGATGCTCTATACACTGAGCCAAACCAGCTAGTGCTCTCTTTGTTTCTTGATGAGTCTGGCTAATGGCTCATCAATCTTGTTTATCTTTTCAAAGAGCCAGCCTTGGGTTCATTGATTTTTTTGTGTGTGTGTGGGTTTTTGTTTTTTTTTGGTCTCTATTCTCTATGCCATTTATTTCTGCTCTAATCTTTATTATTTCCTTCCTAGAGTAAGTACTCTAGGCTTTTCTTGTTCTCTTTCTAATTCTTTAAGTTGTAGGGTTAAATAATTTTCTAATTTCATTCTACTGTAATCTGAGAAGATGCTTGATGTAATTTCATTCTTCTTGAAGTTCTAGAGACTTGTTTTGTGTCCTTACATGTGGTCTCTATTGCGAATGATCCATGTGCACTTGAGAAGAATGTATATTCGGCAGCTTTGGGGTGAAATGTTCTATAAATGTCAGGTAAATCCATCTGATCTAGTGTGTCAATCAGAGTCACTGTTTCCTTGCTAATTTTTGTCTGGATCTCTGCAGTGAAGTCAGCAGGGTGGTAAAGCCCCCTGTGACTGTGCTGCTGTTGGTCTCTCCCCTGAAGTCCTCCAGAAGTTCATCTGTATATTTAGGTGCTCCTATGCTGGGTGCATATCTGTTTACCAGGGTTATATTCTCTTCTTGGAGGAATCTGTTTAGTTTATGTTGTGACCTTTATTGTCTCTTCTCTTGGCCTTCATTTTGAAGTCTTTTTTTTGTCAAATAGGAGTATTTCTACTCCAGCTTTTTTTTTTTTTTTTTTTTTAATAATATATTTTATTGATTTACAGAGAGAAATTGAGAGGGACAGAGAGTTAGAAACATCGCTGAGAGAGAAACATTGACCAGCTGCCTCTTGCACACCCCCTACCGGGGATGTGCCCGCAACCAAGGTACATGCCCTTGACCGGAATCGAACCCGGGACCTTTCAGTCCGCAGGCCGACGCTCCATCCACTGAGCCAAACCAGTCCCGGCTCCAGCTTTTTTTTTGTTTCCATTTGCATGGGGAATTTTTTTTTACCATCCCTTCACTCTCATCCCGTGTGAGTCTTTTGTTCTGAGGTGGGGCTCTTATAGGCAGCATATAATTGAGTCACACTTTTTTATCCATTCAGCTACCCTACATCTTTTTTTTTTTTTTTTTTAATATATTTTATTGATTTTTTACAGAGAGGAAAGGAAAGAAATAGAGAGCTAGAAACGTCGATGAGAGAGAAACATTAACCAGCTGCCTCTTGCACACCCCCTACTGGGGATGTGCCCGCAACCCAGGTACATGCCCCCAACCGGAATCGAACCTGGGACCTTTCAGTCCGCAGACGGATGCTCTACCACTGAGCCAAACCGGTTTCGGCTACCCTACATCTTTTGACTAGACCATTTAATCCACTTACATTTTAGGTTATTATTGATAGGTATTTATTGATTGCCATTTTAATTCTTGATCTCATTGGTAACCCATTCATTGTTTAATATCATGCTATCACGCTATGTTTCTCTCTCTTTCTCTCTCCCTCTCTTTCTCTCTCTCTCCTCTCACTCTCCATATATATATTGTTCTATTAGTGCTATTTTTGTGGTGATAAACTTCTTTAGCCTTTTTTTTTTTGTCTGGGAAGATCTTTATGTCACCATCAATTTTGAATGATAGCCTTGCTGACTATAGTCGTCTTGGTTTCAGATCCTTGCTTTTCAATACCTTGAATACTTCATGCCATTCCCTTCTGCATATAGAGTTTCTAATGAGAAATCAGCTGACAGCCTTATGGGAGCTCCTTTGTAGGTAACAGTTTTCTCTTGCTGCCTTTAAGATTCTCTCTTTGTCTTTAATTTTTGTCATTTTAATTTAAAAATATATATATATTATTGATTTTTTACAGAGAGGAAGAGAGAGAGAGAGCTAGAAATGTCGATGAGAGAGAAACATTGACCAGCTGCCTCTTGCACACCCCCTACCGGGGATATGCCTGCAACCAACGTACATGCCCCTGACAGGAATCGAACCCGGGACCTTTCAGTCTGCAGACCGACGCTCTACCACTGAGCCAAACCGGTTTTGGCTGTTCTGACTTTTTTCAGCGAAGATTAGTGTTGCCTATTTTAGACCTTCGTATAAACGGAGGTGCCAGTATGGCACTCTTTAAATTCCCATCCCCACCCCCTTCTCTTTGACAACCATCAGCTTGTTCTATATATCTGATAGGTCTGTTTCTGTTTTGTTTTGTTTGTTTGTTTTCTTTGGATAAATAGCCAGAAGTGGACTTGCTGGGTCGTATGACAGCTCTGGTTTTAATTTTTTGAGGAATCTCCACAGTCTCGAACCCTTGTTGCTGGCTTTTTGTTTTCACTCAGGGCTGTCATTTGTGTCCCTCGGGGCAGGTGTTCACTGAGGTCCGAGAGGCAGAGGGATTGTCCTTGGTCACCCAGCCCCTGGGAGCTGGGACCCAGGGCTCCTGGTGTCCAGGGTGCACACCTCAGCGTCTCCAACTCTCCTCCCCGCCCCTCCCCCGCTTCTCGCAGGGCGAGAGGCTGAGCCACGCCGTGGGCTGTGCGTTTGCTGCCTGCCTGGAGCGGAAACAGCGGCGGGAGAAGGAGTGTGGGGTCACGGCTACCTTCGATGCCAGCCGCACCAGCTTCGCCCGCGAGGGCTCCTTCCGCCTGTCGGGGGGTGGGCGGCCCACTGACCGAGAAGCCCCGGACAAAAAGAAAGGTGGGTGCCGCCCAGACAGCGGGCACAGCGTGGGCCCCTGGGGCTGGGGGTGCGGTTTGCAGGGAAAGCTGCAGCCGCTCAGGGACTCGACAGCTTACAAAGCAGAGCGCAACCACAGAGCTCGTTCCGGTTCCTAAAGCTCGTTTGGTCAGAGTCCTGTGGGCAGGGTCCTGTAGGCCGCAGGTCCCAGCAAAGTTCACAAGTCGCTCTGCTACCTGCCGACTCAGGCAGGTTCCCAGGCTTCCCACAGCGCGTACAACGAAGATGAAATGGAAAATACAGAGCCAGCGAATGCATAAGGATAAGCATGGCTTAATGATATCTTTATTTCATTTGTGTATGTTTATACGTGGACTAGGTTATTATGAAAAGGCATTTCTTACTCTGGTTGCCATCAAGAAAGCTTGACATCTGATAGACTAACATTCGAAGTGACTGGCAAATACCTTTGTAAATTATAAAAAAAATTTTTTTTCAACGTAAGTGTATTATATGCTAAGTCACAATGTGACTTCATTTTTCTTTTCTGCGGATTCTAGTTTTGTTTTGTTTTTATATATTTTATTGCTTTTTTTTTACAGAGAGGAAGAGAAAGGGATAGAGAGTTAGAAACATCAATGAGAGAGAATCATCCATCAGCTGCCTCCTGCACACCCCCTACTGGGGATGTGCCCACAACCAAGGTACATGCCCTTGACTGGAATTGAACCTGGGATCTTTCAGTCCGAAGGCTGATGCTCTATCCACTGAGCCAAACTGGTTTCGGCCGGATTCTAATTTTAAGATATTTTTAAAATACTGCTTAAAATTGATAAAGAATTTACTTTCGGGAGTGTCCCAGATTAAAGGAGACTGAAGAGATTTGACAAGTGTTATTAAATGCAGCGTGTGGTGCTGCATGTATGTAAAAAAGAACATCTATGAAGGACATGATCTGGACAGTGGGGAAACTGGAATACGGCTGGCTAACAGTACTGAGCTCATGGTCAGTTCCCCACGTGAGGAATTAGGCTGCAGGTGTGTAGGAGACTGTCCTTGTTCTTGGGAGGTACATGTTGAAGGCTTGGGTTAAGTTGTCTGAAAATTACTCTTTTTTTTTTTTTTTTAAGAATAATATCTTTTATTTTATTTAAAAAAAATAAATTTCAGAGAGGAAGGGAGAGGGAGAGAGAAATAAAAACATCAATGATGAGAGAGAATTATTGGTTGGCTGCCTCCTGCTGGGGATCGGCCCACAACCCAGGCTTGTGCCCTTAATGGGGAATCAAACCGTGACCTTCTGGTTCATAGGTCAAGGCTCAACCACTGAGCCATGCTGGCCACACTGAAAGTTACTCTTAAATGGTAGGGGAAATTATAGAAGGAGGGAGAGAGCACATATGATTACATGTTAACTCTGGGGAACCTTAGGTTAAGAGAACCTGCATGCTTGCCTAGCTGGTGTGGCTCAGTGGATTGAGCATTGTCCCATGCACCAAGAGGTCACTGGTTCAGTTCCTGGTCAGGGCACATGCCTGGGTTGTGGGCTTGATACACAGTAGGGGGTGTGCAGAGATGGCCGATTGATGTTTCTCTCTCATCCATGTTTCTACCTCCTTCCCCTTTCTCTATCTAAATATCAGTAAAAACATTTTTTAAAAGAGATAGGAAATATGCACACTCATTGTTCCATTATAACATCTTTTCTGTAAGTTTAAAATAGTTCTAACTAAGATGTTAGGAAAATAATTTTTATTGCTTTATCAATAGCATTCTTTATAAAAAATATATATTTTTATTGATTTCAGAGAGGAAGGAAAAGCATGGAACATTTACTGCCTCAACTGACCCTCTCAGGAGGCTCAGTTATAGTTCGGAAACTGGGGCCCTGAGAGCCGGGGGGACTTCCTAAGGTCCCTAAAGGGGGTAGGGGTGAGGTTGGGGGAGGGGTAAAGGTAGTTCCTGGTTCCATCCTGTCCCAGGCTTCTCAACCTGGAAGATGGAAGATGCCAGGTGACCTCCTGTCTTCTCTGGGCCTGAGTTTAATCTCCCGGCATTCAGGCTGCAGCTGAGTGAGGCCTGATGGGAGGGTGTGTGTGTGTGTGTGTGTGTGTGTGTGTGTGTGTGTGTGTGGGCAGGGTCCTCTCACGGAAGAGCAGGCCTTGGGAATACCCAGAGTGGAGGGAGACAGGCTGAAGGGAAAGCTCCCCAGAGGAAGTGTGTCAGCTGGGTCGGGAAGGATGGGTAGCGGCTGGAGGAAGGGAGGAGGTGGTTGAGGTGGGCAGAATGGTGGGAGGTACAGAGACGGAGAGAAGAACTGATGAATGATAGAGGAAGACAGCATGACAAGCAGAGACCAAGCCAGAGGGAGAGACAGGTTAGGGCAGTGGTCAGCAAACTCATTAGTCCACAGAGCAAAATATCAACAGTACAACGATTGAAATTTCTTTTGAGAGCCAAATTTTTAAAACTTAAACTTTTTCTAAGGCCTTTAAAATAGACTCGCCCAGGCCGTGGTATTTTGTGGAAGAGCCACACTCAAGGGGCCAAAGAGCTGCATGTGGCTTGAGAGCCGCAGTTTGCCGACCACTGGGTTAGGGTAATTGGATCACCAACTCCAGTCAGCCTGCCTCTTTCTAGCACTGTGGCTTGGGCACTTGCCATTGCTGGGCCTCAGTTTTCATCGCTGTGAAATGGGGATACCGGTAGTATTGACCTCAGGGGTGGTTTTGAAGATTGAGTGAGTTAATAATTGCCAGGCACTTGGAACAAGGCCTGGTCCATTGGTCACGCACCAAACAAGTGTCCATTCCGCTAGTCAGGAAAAGAGAGAAGGTCTCACAGGGAAAACGGGGGAACAGCAGAGGAAAGAGGCGGGTGGCAGAAAGCTAGCAAGACACCGAGGTGAGGTGGGGTGAAATTCCTCAGCGGCTTCCTGGGGAAGTGGTCTTGACTTGGGTGGGGGTGAGGGGCATGCATGGCCCCGACCAGCCCGTCTGGAGGGCAGGGCACATCGATGGAGAACGACCCAGGGGACCCGGTGGGGGGCCTCCGGCGCCGCCGAGCTACCTGACCGCCCTCTCCGTGTCTCCAGCAGAGGCGGCAGCTGCCCCCACCGCGGCTCCCGGCCCCGCCCAGCCCGGGCGCGTGTCCCCCACTCCAGCCACCACGTCCCCCGGGGAGAAGGGCGAGGCGGGCACCCCGGTGGCCGCGGGCACCACGGCGGCGGCCATCCCCCGGCGCCACGCGCCGCTGGAGCAGCTGGTGCGCCAGGGCTCCTTCCGCGGCTTCCCGGCGCTCAGCCAGAAGAACTCGCCCTTCAAGCGGCAGCTGAGCCTGCGGCTCAACGAGCTGCCGTCCACGCTGCAGCGCCGCACCGACTTCCAGGTGAAGAGCACAGGTGAGCCCGGATCCGCACCGCTGCCTGCGAGACGGAGGGCGGGGGCACCGCGACCGAGCGGCACCGTCCCGGTGCCCAGAGGGGAGAGTGGACGGCTTGGTCAGTGAGCAGTCTGCCGGGGCCAGAGCGAGGAGAGAGAGGAAATCGTGCTGGGTCAGCAGTGTCCGCTGTGGACAAAGTGGGACAAACCATGACCAGTGAGCTCCGCGGGCTGTGGTCAGGGAAGTGCAGGGCGGCCTGCAGGACCTGCCCGCGAAGGGCAGTGGACACGGGAGGAGGCAGCTGCACCAGTGTTACGGTTTTGCTCAGGAGGAGATGGAGGCACCAGCCTCCCCCATGAAGCCAGGAGATGGGCCAGGCTGTGAATTCAGGCTGAGCCACAGGGGCTGTAATGGGGTAGCATCTGCCTGAGGCAGGGGGAAGAGGGTGAGAGCTTACACCATGATCTCCTTCCAGTGTCTGCGTGAGCGAGGGAAGGAGAAGGTGGCACAGCAGGTGAATGATCAGCAGAGTTTGCTGTGGGCCAGGGAGCAGGGAGAGCAATGGGCGCGCTGTGTTCTCACCCACGGAGAGAGCGCCGGAATTCCAGGGGAAACGTGCAGTGGAGGCACAGGGAGCAGGAATCGCAGGGCCAGGGAGCGCGGTGGTGGTGTCACCTGAGGATCAGGCTAGGGCAGCGCCCACCATGCTGATTAGCAATGTCTGCCGTGGGGGATGCTGGGAGAGAGGCAGTTAAATGTCCTGTTTTGCTTGGAGTCACAAGGATCAGTCCTGTCTTCCAGGATTTGGCCTGAGGAGGCCAGAGCCAGGTGAGGGGTGAGGTGAGCAGAGTTCAGTGGCGGGGGTGGGGGGAATGGGGAGAGTAGGGGGTGGGGAGGAAGAAACATTGTGTTTGATTACTAATGTCTGTGATGGGCGGGGAAAGGAGAAAGATGGTACATGTCATGATGTAAAGCAATGTGTGGTTCAGTGGATGAACACCGACCAGTGGACCAGGAGGTCATGGTTCGAACCCGGTCAGGGCACATGCCCAGGACACACTGTGGGTCTAGACCAGACTACCAAGGTGTAGTCTCTCCTCTACCCCAGTGCCACAGGCTACTTGCACCCCCTGTGGGCTCAATCCCCAGTAGGGGGCAAGCCAGAGGCACTCTCTCACTGATGCTTCTATCACTCTCTCTCTCCCTCCCCCTCCCTGAACTCAATAAAAATATATTTAAAGGAAAAATAAAGCAACATCTGCGGTGAGAAAGGGAGAGGAGAGGAGGCGGTACATGTTTTGTGCAAGGGAGAAGGCAGGAGGCTGCCTTTCCTCCCAGCTGTCGGTGAAGTCACCGGTCTGGCCTGCTCCCCTGCCTCCTGACACCTCATCAGACAACCACCCTCACGGCCCCAGGGCTGGTGTGGGGGGTGGTATCCAGGAGGCTGGGCGGCTGCAGGGGGTGCCTGCTGGGCAGATGCCAGGGCTTGCTGAGCATTCACTCTGGCAGCAGCATCCCTCTGCTGTCCTCTTACCGCCCTACGCCCAGCTCACCCGGGGCTGCACACATGCTGCCTGGAGGGGACAGGCTCCCCAGCGTTATGTGGGGGCCTCACACTCCTGGAGCCAAGTGCTTGTTTGCTTAGACGCGACTTGACACACAGAAATGTCACCAACTCACACGATGTTACAGTCTGCTGCAGGTGTCATACACTCCAGTCACACACTTCGTCATGTGCACCCTGAAATCACATATAATTGGAAGTTGCAGTTACCCCCCCCCCATTCATGCACTTGGAAGTCACACATGCAGAGTCATGCATGCAGGCAGATTGGCTCACACTTGGGAATCACAGTCAGGTCATCACACACTGGGTTTCCGTCACACTCAGAAGCCGCACACTCATTCGGACTAACACGCACGTTCATGTAAATGACCTGGGAGCCACCCACCCTCCCACCTGCCCACCCCACGTCCCCCCGCCGACTCCTGCGTCAGTTTCCTCCTCACGCTCACACCAGCTTGCTGAGATGGCGCGGGCACTCGTCGCTCACACTGCCGTTCATTCACTTGGTCCCTTTGCTCGTCTCAAGTGCTCTGAAGCCCCACATCTGCTCCCTGTCTTCCTGGCACAGGTGTGTCTCTGCCCTCGTGGTCTGTGCCACAGGCCAGGATGGACAGGACCCATTTGCCACACAAAGCAGGACAAGTGGTCCCAGCCCGTGTGGCCCACATCCATTCTGACTGGTCAGTGCTCTTGCCACCTACTCTGTGGTTAAATATATTTTAGAAATTATGATATGTTTTTATTTTTATCATATAATTGTATTGATTTCAGTGAGGAAGGGAGAGGGAGGAGAGAAAAACGCCAGTGAGACAGAATCATTGATGGGCTGCCTCCTGCACGCCCCCTTTTGGGGACTGAGCCCACAATCCAGGCCTGTGTCTGGCCTGGAATTGAACCGTGACATCATGGTTCATAGTTTGATGCTCACCCACTGTGCCCCTGGCCGGGCACTATTCGTTTTTAAGCAGTTTTAAGTCTTTCTTCTGGTTTGTAGCTACGGACAGGTCCACCTTGATTTGGGGTCCCTGTGACTGCCATCCACTGTGGGGAAAATTTCCCAGGACCAAGAGACCAGAGAAAGAGGCTGATGACTCCATCACTACAGCAGGAGTTTATTAAGGGATTTACTTCGAGGCACATCGTGGGCAGAGGAAGGTGACATGAGTACCCGCTGTGCCACGTGCAGGCGCCAGGAGGTTGTAAAAGACAGGGCAGGCTGGAGGGGTACGGGGTGACCTGCCAGGTAAGGGGAAGACAGCTTACCTGCCTCCTAGGGCCAGCGATGCCCTGTTCCTGGAGCGGCGCACCTGGGGCGGAGGAGACCGCCCAGGGGGTGTGCAGAAGCAGCCTCCGTCCCGCCCTGGCCTGGCTTGTGGGCCCATCCAGACCATCCAGGTGTAGGCTCTCCCTGCCCCGGCGCCACACTGCTTGCACCATCCAGATGTCACACACACACACACACACGTATGCAGAGCTGTCATTCTGTGACCATGGCCACTTAGTTACCACCGACCCACACACCTTGTGAGAAGGCGGGCGAGGGCAGAGGGGTCAAGCACAGGGCCTGGGCCCCTCACTGACTCTGCCTCTCCCTGACCCCCAGTGCCGGAGATGGAGCCACCTGGTGCCAGCGACAGCGACAGCATCAATGCTCTGTGCACGCAGATCAGCTCGTCTTTTGCCAGTGCTGGGGCACCAGCACCAGGGCCGCCGCCTGCCTCGACCGGTGAGCCCAGCCCTTCCTGGGTGCCCCCTGCACCCTCCTGCTCCACTCAGGGTCACTCAGGGACTCCAGGGACCTGGGTCATCTTAGGGCTCCAGGAGCACCTCAGAACCAAGGGGTCATTTTGTTTTGTTAATCCTCACCCAAGGACATGGTTTTATTGATTTGAAAGACAAAGGAGGAGAGAGAAACATCCACCAGTTGCCTTCCATATGTGCTCTTACCAGGATTGAACCTGCAACCTAGGTATGTGCCCTGACCAGGAATCAAACCCGCAACCTTGGTGTATGGGACAATGCTCCAACCAGCTGAGCTACCCGACCAGGGCACAATGGGATCCTTTTTATTTTTCTTTATTTTTAAAATATATTTTATTAATTTTTTACAGAGAGGAAGAGAGAGGGATAGAGTTAGAAACGTCGATGAGAGAGAAGCATTGATCAGCTGCCTCTTGCACACCCCCTACTGGGATGTGCCCGCAACCAAGGTACATGCCCTTGACTGGAATTGAACCTGGGACCTTTCAGTCTGCAGGCCGATGCTCTATCCACTGAGCCAAACCGGTTTCGGCTATTTTTTATTTTTATTTTTAAATATGTTTTTATTTTAGAGAGGGAGGGAAAGGGAGAGGTAGAAACATCTATGATGAGAGAGAATCATTGATTGGCTGCCTCCTGTACCCCCCACTGGAATCGAGACCACATTTGGGGCATATGCCCTGGACTGGAAATCTAAGCGTGACCTGGTTCATAGGTTGATGTTCAACCACTGAGAAACATGAGCTGGGCCATGGGATCATTTTAAAAAATATATATGTTTTATTGATTTTTTACAGAGAGGAAGGGAGAGAGATAGAGAGTTAGAAACATTGATGAGAGAGAATCATCGATCAGCTACCTCTTGCACACCCCCTACTAGGGATGTACCCACAACCAAGGTACATGCCCTTGACCGGAATCAAACCTGGGAACTTTCAGTCCACAGCCAACACTCCATCCACTGAGCCAAACCGGCCAGGGCCATGGAATCATTTTTAAACCTTCCTGTCTTGATCCTGCCAGCATGGCTCAGTGGATTGAATGTCATCGGTGCTCCAAGAGGCCATCAGTTCAGTTCTGGTCAGGGCACATGCCCAGTAGGGGGTGTGTAGGAGGCAGCCGATTGATGTTTCTCTCTCATCGATGTTCTGTGTCCTTCTCCCTTCCTCTATATCTAAAAAATAAATAAAAACATTTTTTAAGAAAGACTTCCGGTCTTAGAATAATAAAATTCGGAAGCCTCTAGCCTTAGCATGACAGAATACTGGAATGGAACAGATTTGGGCCATGACCCTGGAGTCTCACAGCTTTAGGGGAGTGCTCGCTGAGGCAGCCCAGCAGAGTCACCTCAGCCTCGGGGCTTACCTTAGAACCAGCAGAGCACGGAGGCTTGCCAGCAATGTCAGTGTAAAGCTCTTAGAAAACGGAAACTTAAAACCATCAACCCTTACTCATCACGTTAGGATGAGAAAGATCTATGGAGCCTTAGGCTGCCATTAACATGGGTGATGCCAGGTTAGGCGCTCACCGTCGGAGGTGAGGCCGCCTGGGTGATGGTTGCCAGTCCTGCCTGTATGCTCCCATCTTGGGGCCATAGGATCCCAGCCCTGGGTGTTCTTAGCACCGCAGAACCCTCTGTGGTCCAGGATGGATTCAGGCCCAGTTCAGAGTCCGATCCCAGCCCTGGCTCTCACCGCCCTCTCCTCTGTGCAGGGACGTCTGCCTGGGGCGAGCCCTCCGTGTCCCCGGCAGCCGCCTTCCAGCCCGGGCACAAGCGGACGCCTTCGGAGGCCGAGCGGTGGCTGGAGGAGGTGTCCCAGGTGGCCAAAGTGCAGCAGCAGCAGCAGCAGCAGCAAGTGTCCTCGGTGCCCGCTGTGCCCCCTCCCCTGCAGCCCTTCCCCGCCCCCGTGGGGCCCTTCGATGCCACACCCGCCCAGGTGGCGCTGTTCCTGCCACCCCCACACATGCAGCCCCCCTTTGTTCCCGCCTACCCAGGCCTGGGCTACCCGCCCATGCCCCGCGTGCCCGTGGTGGGCATCACACCCTCACAGATGGTGGCCAACGCCTTCTGCTCAGCTGCCCAGCTCCAGCCACAGCCCACCGCCCTGCTTGGGAAAGCCGGAGCCTTCCCCCCACCTGCTGTGCCCAGTGCCCCCGGGGGCCAGGCCCCCCCACGCCCCAACGGGGCTCCCTGGCCCCCAGAGCCAGCACCCACCCCAGCCCCCGAGTTGGACCCCTTTGAGGCCCAGTGGGCTGCGTTAGAGGGCAAACCCGCTGCAGAGAAGCCTTCCAACCCCTTCTCGGGCGACCTGCAGAAGACCTTCGAGATTGAACTGTAGCCCCAGCCGCCCTGCCCACCCCAGGCCTCGAGGTGCCCGCACCCAGGAGTGGAGGCCTGCCTCTCCCCTCACCTTGCTCTCTGGGGCTTTGCCCTCCATATCCCTCTAACGCCTCCTCTCCACCGCCCCCACAACCACTATAGAACCGACATGTGACGCCCAGGTTTCCACAGGATGGAATTCAGGGACAGACCCGGCCCGGCAATGCTCCTTCCCCACCCCGCACAGGAGGCTGCAGGCCCACGAGTGCCCTCGTTCAAGCTAGTTCCCAGTCTCTGTTGTTGACCTTCCACCTCCCATTGTTGGGTGGGATGAGAGAGGGATGTCCATTTAGGGGCTCTCCTGGGCCCCACGTGGCTGCCCCCCACACAGCACAAGCCAAGGCTTCCCTCTGCCCGCCCGCTGCGTTCACTGCCAATGCTGTGCCCACCCGCGGCCTCTCCCCGCTCGGGCCCACTCCTTCCTTGGGACAAGGTCTCTTGGGGGCAGGGCCACGCTGGGGGCCCAGGAAGTGAGTTTGGGGGGAGGAGAAGGAGATGCTCAGTTACCTCACGTTGGTGCCCCCTGGGGAGGGGCCCAGAGGAAGGGAGAGGGGTGCCTGGCGGGTACTTTTCTATCTTTTATTTCCAGATTTTTTTGTATCTAAACTTGCAGATTTGTATTATACCAGGATAGCCAATAAAGGAAGACTATAACGGTGCCCCTCAGGACAGCGGGGTGTGTGTCTGGGAGGGACGGTGAGGTCACAGCCTTTCTCCTGAGGCGCCCCCAAAGCAAGAGGGGCTCCCTGCATGATACCCCGGGTCAGAACGTAGCAGCAGGTAGCGGCTGGCCTGGCACGGAGAGGTGAGTAGTAAAGGGTGCCCACCACTGATCACCCCCTTCCTGATACTTAAGAGTTTGAACCCAGGAATTAAAGTTCTCATCTGCTGCTAATAAGTTCAGTATTAAAATCCCTTCTCGTTACCGAGGTTTGGAATAGTATGAGCTGGTCCATTCTTGTGTCATGGGTTGTATTCTCTGTAACAGACCAAAGTGTCATTTGATGTGGCAGCATGTTGTAAGTCTGTCTTGTTTTGGGGCCCCTTAATATAATCTGCCTTATATATTTTTAAATATACTATATGTAAATGATACGCTTAACTCTTTTTTTTAAAAAAAATGTTTTATTGATTTTTTACAGAGAGGAAGAGAGAGGGATAGAGAGATAGAAACATTGATGAGAGAGAATCATCGACCAGCTGCCTCTTGCACACCCCCTACTGGGGATGTGCCCGCAACCAAGGTACATGCCCTTGACCGGAATCGAACCCGGGACCTTTCAATCTGCAGGCCGACGCTCTATCCACTGAGCCAAACCGGTTTCAGCTACGCTTAACTCTTTATAGCGCTTTAAAATGAGGTGACGGGTTTGGTGAAGCCCAATGTTATCTCTCCATTTGAGCGGTGGGAAAGCTGTCACTCTCCCACGTCATACCCCTGATTGGTGGGGGAGCTGGGAGTCGTACCTGCAGGCCAGTTAGTATCCACCCGCTGAGAGGGAACCGCTAGGGTCCGCCCTCAGGAGTTCATTAGCTGTGGGTCCGGGCGGGGGCACTTTCACCAGAGAGCCCACTCCTCCAGGCCTGGGGCCAAGCAGCCCCTTCTTACCAATGGACCCTCTTCCCAGCCCCGCCCCCAGACAGCCCTTCCAAAGTTTAGGAAGACCTTTGACCCTTCAGGCTGGGTCAGGAGCACTACCTCCCCGCCCCCCCCCCCCCCCACACACACACACATACACACTTGGATCCTCTGCGGAGGCTGACCTTACACCACCCTCCCTGTGCCCAGGGTGGCCTTTCTCAGACCCTCCTCTATCCTCTCCCCCCGCATCCCCCCCACCCCCGCCCGCCCCACTGATGCAAGCTCCCTGAGCCGATCCCCCTCCTCCCTCCCTCGCCCGATGGAGACGCCCCAGTTCCGGGGCTTCTCCTCCGCTGACACCGCAGATCAGGGGTCACCTCCCGCCCTCTGCTTCCCCGGGGCTGGGGCTCGGAATAGACGCGGGACAGAACCAGCCAGCGTCCCTGCCCCAGCGGGTGGCCTCGTCCCCTCAGCGCCATGTGCGGCACCCAGCACCCTCCTTTGTGCGTGGCGCCACCTCGGGGTGTTCGGCGTCCTCTCCCGCCCAGCGGCTCTCCCACCCACGTGGCCGCGGCGCCTCCGGGGCCGCTCTGGGCTCCCGCCGCCCGGCCCTCCCGCTGCCCGGCCGCGTGGGCGCTGCGGCGGGCGCGGCGGAACAGCGCCCCCTGGTGGCCTTGTTCTTGGAATCCGGGGCGCCGCGTCCGTGGCTCCAGCCGAGTCCCCCCGCGGATACTAAGGCAGAAGGCTTTTTTTTTTTTTTTTTTTAATATATATTTTATTGATTTTTTACAGAGAGGAAGGGAGGGAGATAGAGAGCCGGAAACGTCGATGAGAGAGAAACATCGACCAGCCGCCTCCTGCAAATCCCCTACCGGGAATGTGCCCGCAGCCAACGTACATGCCCTTGACCGGAATCGAACCGGGGACCTTTCAATCCGCAGATCGCCGCTCTACCACTGAGCCAAACCGGTTTTGGCCAGAAGGGCTTTTTAAAATTGGAGTCTCGGTCATGAGCAGCGTGACTCTCCAGGCTCTGGCTCCTCCAGGAAGTTCTCCCTGATTGCTCCTGCACCGGCTGGCGTCCAGCTCCCCTCCCCTCCGCCCAGCTCCCCTCCCCCTCCGCAGCCCTTCCCCCTCCTGGCTGAGCCCTCTGCCTGTGCCTCCCGTCCAGGCCGCACCACTTGTGCTGCCCTGTGGCCTGCGAGGGCAGGGACAGGGCTGTCTTGGTCACACCGTGGCCCCCGTGTCGCCAGCGCAGGGCACAGAGTAAGGCAGGTGCCGGCAGGGCATTCATTCACGTCCTCAACCAATATTTGCTTTGTTTTATTTAATTGAAGTATAATATACATCTCATAAGAGACGCCTGTTTGTTTTTTGGTGTGTTTTTTCTTTTCTTTTCTTCTTCTAAGTGTATTTTTATTGATTTCAGTGAGGAAGGGAGAGAAAGAGAGAAACATCAATGAAGAGCCCGGCCAGCATGGCTCAGTGGTTGAAGGCTGGATTCCTGGTCGGGGCACCTCAGTCATTTAGGAGGTGCATTTAGGAGGTGATGAGAATCAGTGATTCTCATCTTTGATGTCTCTCTCTCCCCCTCCCTTCCTCTCTGAAATCAATAAAAATGAATTTTAAAAAAGAAAAGAAAAGAAACGTCAGTAGACCCGGGGACAACGGGGTTAACATCCCTGCCCTAGCAGGTGACCTGGCCCCATCAACACGGTGCGTGGCACCGGGACCCTGAGCAGAGACCTGGCTGGAGGGCGGGTCGCCCAGCTCTGAGGGGGCGGGCTCCCAGCTGGGGGAGCCGCAGCGCTGGGCGCTCTGCAGGCTGGAGGGCTGGCGTGTCCTGAGGGTGGAGAAGGCAGTTGGAAATGAAGTAAAAAAGTTAGAGAACAGCTGCCCAAAGCACCCTCCCCAGAGGCACTGCGGCAACAACAAACGGCCCGCACATTTCCGAAGGTCCCGCGGCCCTGGGTGAGACTCACAGCCAGCAGCTGCTGGGCGCCAAGTGCAGTCTGCCCTCAGGCTCCAGTAACAGGATGTCGAATGCACTTTCCCAGGACCTCCAGGATTGCCACCAGGGCCAACGCTGAGGACAAAAGTGGCCAACCACCCACCCCACAGCCTAAGGTCAAGGTCACAGCCATGGGAACCAGCCACCTACCCAAAGAACTCAGACAGGGCAAGCCCAATGTTACCTCTTCACCCCCCAACACACACACCCCAGAAAAGGGGAGGAGAAAGGAGTGCCGGACGGCAGAGTTCTCAGGAGGGGAGAACCTAGGGTTCAGTCCACCTAGAACCAGCAGTTGTTCACATTTCATGTTTGTTTTTCTCCTCTCTCTCTCTAAATCCACACACATGTGTGCGCGCACACACACACATGCACACATGGATATCTGCTGAGTCATCCTGAGTCCTGGCTCCTAAACACGTCCCCCTGGGTCCTCTCAGAACTAGGCCATCCTCTCACCCATTGTCACACCTACAAACAGGAGCAATCATTTCAAAGGATGATCTAATATCCAAGACTGAGTTTTAAAATGAATGAGAATCCGGTGAAATTGTCATTAAGGCTCCCCTTTTCCTCCTTTTCCCAGAAGAATAAAGAAAATTAGCGTAGATAGCAGGTGGGGGAAGTCACTTAAAAACAGAAGGAAAATATAGAAGTCTCCCTTCTCCATGGAGGACCTGGTCCAGGACTCTCAGTGAATGCCTGAAACTGTGGATGCCTAAGAACCTAAACATATTTACGATGTTTTTTCACATGCATACATACTATCTTTTCACTTGACTGCTTCTCTTTGGCCCATCCGAATTGCCGGCATCACTGCTCTTGCACTTTGGGGCCGTCATTAAGTAAAATAAGAGTGACCTGAACACAAGCACTGCCATACTGTGACGGCCAGGCTGATGACCGAAAGGGCTGCTGACTGACTAACAGGTGGGTAGCGTGTGAGTATGGGGACGCTGGACAGAGGGGTGATTCAGGTCCCATGTAGGACAGAGTCAAATGGCAAGATATGTCATCACTCTGTTTGGAATGGCATGCAATTTAAAGCATGAGTTCCCTATTTCTGGAATTTCCCATTTATTTATTTATTTATTTATTTATTTTTAATCATAGTGGTAACTGAAACAATGACATTGAAACTGTGAAAAAGGGGGACTACTGTATCATGTTTTCCATCCCAGGGAATTGAGGCTTGTCAATAAACCGTTTCCATTTAGAATTGGGCCTTGTAGGCCGTGACCAGGTGGGTGGTCTTGTAGAGGTGGGACTTAGGTGAGTGCCAAGCGGAGTCAGCCCGTGATCTCCGAAGATGGCTGCAGTAATGTCTGTTCACATATTTTTCTGAACCTTGAGACTCCGCCAACTC